TTTTTCATAAATCAACAACTAATAGATAGATATTGACGATGTTAATGTTTAATTTCTTCTAATGTAAATAACACTATTTATATTTATACTGTATGACACAGCAATCAAAATGCAAGTGAACAATTAATGTATAATACACATTATGCAATGAAAGGTGACTTCAAGAATCTTGTCACAAAATTTTCTTTGAGATTTTATCACTTCATGGTTTGCGTATAAGAAAAGAACCTATAATCTCCCTAAAACAAACTTCAGCTGTGAAAATCTTTACTTCAAAACAAATAATTTAAATAATCATCATTATAAATAATAATGATTATTGATAATAATCATAATAATTATAAATAATATTGTGTGATATAATCACACTAATATTAGAAAAGGCGAAAGTTTGTGAGTGTGTATTTTTGTTACTTCTTCAAGTCTAAACGGCTGGAGCGATTTTAATAAAATTTGGTATGTCAGCTAACTCCATAGTTAGCTGACACCCTGGATTAACACATAGGCTACGTTTTACTGCGAGGAAATATCCCTAATAAACCGCGGGTAACACCGCGAGGCACAGCTAGTATTTAATAATTTAAATATTAAAACTATAAAAACATGCACCTATAATAATTTTCTATAAAATAATAATTGCCGTTACATTTCATAAACCTATGACGACCTCCGTGGCCGAGTGGTTTGTACGCCGGGTTTCATGGTGTTGCCGACTCGAGAGGTCCCGAGTTCGAATCCCGGTGGGAGCAGATGTTTGTGTGATGAATACGAGCATTTGTATTCCAATCATGGATGTTTGATATGTATTTCTATATAAATATACTTATATATGTAAAATATATGTATTCTAGCCGTTACCCTAGTATCCCATAACACAAGCCTTACAGTGCTTATTTTGGGGCTAGGCTAATTGGTGTGTGTTGGAAATATTTATTTATTTAAAACAAAAAAAAAAGTTTAAATTTGATTTTTATGTTTTATTTTACCTACCGGCTTCATCTTTTCTTCCCAATCATAAAATATCTTAACTACGTTCCATATAGAAACTTTTTCCCCGTTAGTACCTATATCCAACTATTTCGAGAGAAACAAACCCAATTTAGTTGAAGTGGTAGTAAATTAATTACGTACATAGGTAGCAACGCTCTTTTTGGTGTTACGTCTCTGTTACGTGATGGTCGTTATTTTGAACAACAACAAAACAACTTTGTAACGATCCTTCATAACAAAAAGCTTACGAAATAGAAAATTAAATCACCTAAATGATGTTTAAGAGTAGTACCTACCTACTCATTACTTTAACATGAAACTGAAAATTACGTTCCATTATTATCAGAAGAGATATGAAATCGTTTCCCAAAAGTTTATCGTATTAACGTGTGTGTAGTGCAAGGTTACTATTACATATTATAAAAGCCTAACTATCCTTCTGGCAGAAATTCTATCTTTTTATCTACATTGTTTGAAGTTATTAGTTCTCACATCAACAGTCTCTGTGTCTCAAAGACAGTGTTGCCAGCTCTCCCGATTTTACAGGAGATCTCTTGTTTTTCTGAAATTTCTCCTGGTTTACTGTTTTTCTACATGAATCTACTGTTTTCTTAGAATACAATTTTCTTTTTGAATTGCATGTTGAGTTGCATTTTCCGCGGTTACTGTAGGTAACCTTAATTATTATAAAATATTGTCTAAAAAAACGAGCTTTATGGGTTGGCAGAAGCTACAGAAACTCAATCGTTACTGGCCCTTTATCTTGATTTGATTTACCAATTCTAGCTGGCTTTTAAACGCTCCGTACGTCATCATTTATAAGATTCCTTCTCCGCATCCTCCTGATATGATAAAGATTTGTATGTATATATCTAAATATTTATCGTTATTTATATATATATATATATATTATTATTTATGTATGTTTATAGATATGTATTTTATGTAGAATATATAGTATATATATTATCTTGTTCCCATAGATATAAAAACATAATAAGTAATTTTATGAATTCTTTTTGCACTACCTTAAGATTTTTGCTAAAATTCTTCGGTTGACTGGTAGAGAATGCCTAATGGCATTAAGTCCGCCACTTGTACACACATTTGTGCAATAAAGTATAAATAAATAAATAAATTACATACAGTGTCGTCAAATTGAAAGTTGACATCAAACTTGCAAACATGTGTTGAGGTCAACTTTCAACACAATGTCAAATAGGTAACAATAATTAACAAATTTACTAAAAATAAGTGTAAAGAAAAGTCCCAAAATAGCAGGAAACCATTTTCAAAACAAATTGAACAAGTATATGAAAAAAGTCGGTGCAAGGTGTTCTTCAAAACTCTTTCTAAGACCCCCAGGCTTAATATAAATTTTGAAAAAATATCTACAGGTAAAATTACAACCAGGCCGTTTTATCATTCAAATATTGTTTTACAGTATAATATCCTTTCTTAAGTAAATGTCTTCTTAATGTGTATTTTAAATTTATGAAGAGGCAAATCAAGAATATCATTAGGAACCTTATTATAGAAATATATACCTTGACCCATAAATGATTTATGAACCTTCTGTAGCCTTTAAGTTGGCATCTTGAGTTTATATCACTGTGTTTGAGATAATAGTCAATATTGATTCTAACAAAAAGTATACAATTATAAATGAATTGTGAAGCAACAGTCAAAATCCCGATTTCTTTAATTTTTTCTCTAAGAGATGTTCTAGAACTTAGTTTATAAATAGCCCTTATAGCTTTTTTTTTGCATCTCACGCCTAACTACTCACAGAACGGATTTGGATGAAATTTGGTGCCTACGCATATTTTATAAACTGAGCTGAGAGTTGAGACATAGGATAGATACTTTTTATCCCGGAGAAATGTAAGGTTCCTGTAGGATTCTCAAAAAACTAAAGGTAATGCGGACAAAGTCGCTGTCGGCCACTATACAAACTTTTATTATGCAAAGATTGACACTCGTCTATGAACAAAACGTGTTCAGAAAGGCGAATGAATGTTTTTCTTTCAGTAGACATTAATACTATAATGTTATGATTACATGGACGATGTGTTTCTGCCCCATAGCACGTTCACCACATCACTAAGATAAAACATTCGAGTTGAATCCCTTGAACATTATAAATATCGCGCTGTAAATTACAACCATCAACAGAAATAATCCTTTATCGGCTGGGAATCAAACCCAGGCCGCCGATGTAGCATACGAGCTTTCTAGCACTGAACCTAGGTGGTGCTTGTTGTTAAGATTAAATTTTTCAATAAAAATTAAAAATGTAATGCGACATGCTAAAGATGAACGAAAAAAATTAAGGAAATATAATAAAAGTTTAAATTTAAAAATGAAGTTGCCGTGATCAAATTAGTCCCAATTAACTTAAGAGCCACAACAAATCCAGTCCAAAAGTACCTATATCAAGCCAAAAGTCACTTTAGTTTTTGTTTAAATCATTGTAATTTACCCCTAGACCCTTCCCTGATTCCGACTTCTGACCCAGAACACTACGCATCCGCATTGTCTTGTGATTCCCGTAGTTCATTTACCATGCCACGTGAGAAACTATCTAAGCAGTTATAACATTAATGTCTACCTGAGTCCTGATTTCGTCCCTTCCATTAATATTTAATAAGACATTTCAGGTACCTACTCGTGTTGCGTAAAAATTAAATCATACCACTACTGCTAGATATCCTACATAAGACGTATTCCGTAATAAATTGTGGCCAATATCACATTTTTGTAATAAAACCTTCGTGCTCGGAAAGCTGAAACATTTACCAAATTCCAATCAATAAAAGGACAAACCTTCCTTTATAAGAAGGTATTATATTAAATTATAAATTAGCGTTATAGAAGATCTTGCCCGACATTAACATAATGTAAGTTATCTAAAGCCGCAAATATATTTCTCTTAGACATTTATTACTGACACAAAAGAGATCTGACTTAGCTGGGAGGACGCTCTAAAAGATGCCTGAAATATTCAGGATTTCTGAGCGAAAATATGTACAATTTTTCCTCAAACAAAGAAGCTTGTAATCAGTGTGTTTTGTCGGTCATGGTCGACAGAGTGGAAAAGAGCATCTGAAAGTTGCAAATAATTCCGTCTAAGCTGAAACTCGGTACGGTACACTAAGTTTTAATATAATAAAAAAAGAGCAGAACAATTTGTCTAATTTATGCAGAACGTTGACTTTGTAATGGCATAGCTCTTCGACATTGGTAAATGCTTGTACAACATAAAGTGAATAAAATAAATAACTATGTACATCAAATCCTACTCATATTGTTAAAATGAAATTTTGGATGTTTGTGTGTTTGTTAACCAATGACACACACAAAATAATTATGACCTAAAATAATAAATAGATTATGAACTGGATTGATAAACAGGATACTTTTTATCCCGGAAAAAAATTAGTATGCTGTGGGATTGACAAAAAAATTAAGTTAACGCGGACGTAGTCGCGTGCGACCGCTAGTATTTACTATAGTTTATAATACAGAATTCTAGGAGTTTATTTTTTAAATTTACAAAAGAAGAAACTTCACTTGTGATATATTTATCCAAATACAAAACCTTCATTTTAATTACAACCTTACATTACACATCTGGACCCCTCCCGTAACATTCAAATAAACCTATCTTTCATAGTTCTAATTGATATTTAAAGTAAAAACTTAGAATGATACAACATACTCACAAATAGTTCACTAAATACCATTAAAGTAACTTCAAAGGGACTCAAATTTAGGTACATAACTCAAATTTCCTATGAAACACATATCATTTTTCCCTTCCGTGCTATATTAACGACTCAAATAGATCTTCAACTATTAAATAAATCCTATGATTTATTTATTAGTTGAAGATCTATTTGGCACGTCAAGCGAATTTTTTATTAGATATTAGAATAACCCAATATCTTATAACAAAATCTAATATCTAATAGACCTCTTAAACGGGTGCTCAAACAACGCTGTACCGCTCAGATTATAAGAGTTTTTGCCATACCAAGTTGGTTCTTCAAAGTAATAAACAAGTTATTTGTGGTAAGTTCTGGAAGGGCATCGCTTAGATAAGATAAGCCTGATGGATATAAGGCAAAAAGTGATTAACTTTATTAGTAAATAAACATATTAATTAAGTTTAAGATGGTTGGTTACTAACTCTCTTGTATTGATTAATATTATGCTTATTAGAGCCTTTAATTCAAAATTATAGTATTTTTAGTTTATCTTTTGCGTATAAATTTTCTTTGTTAGCCAACAAGAAAAAATTTAAACGAGGCCCAGATTAAAATAAACAGTTTCAAAGCTGAAAGCACGTAAGTGCTCAAATATATATTTTTGAATTGCAAAATAATATTGCTATCACAAAATTAACATCAAAATATTCATTGTCGAGTAAATATTAACGCCTGAGGAAATAATGCCAACTAGCAATGTGTGAATGTATGTGTATTTAATTTGCTGGTTAAGAATTTATTGCGTCTACTTATTAAGTAGAAACGGACCTAAACATAATTAAAAATCTATCTATTTAAAAATAAATATTAATCAAATGTTGCTTTTCAATATTTTAAATTAAATAGGTCTAAAACGTAGGAGTATTTATAAGATAAAAAATTAAGTGATTAAACTTATAATATTTAAATTTAGTTTATTAATAACGATGGTTATTAATACCTATTAAAATAAAAACTGAATGATTTTTTTATCAGGTGACATTAATCATAGTTATTAGTACTGATATGTAGATTCCTCTATAAAGTTCCGCGTATCCATTTAAAACTACAATTACTGATATCAAGCAACATTGTTTTTCGCTTTGCTAAAGATAAGTTCATCTGGATATCAATGGAAATACCCAATTCTGATAAGAAATATAAAGGATGATATCTTTTATATCCATTTACTCTGTTCTTAAGTTACTGATAAAGGGCTGAATCAACTTTGGATGGCGTAAAAAGTACCTTCTTAGCTCATTTATGTTACGCAAATTTTATAAAGATTGGGGAAAAAAAAGTAACAAAGCTACTTAAGTTAAAAACTGAAATTAAAGCTCTCAATTTTTTCTTCGACAGATTCGGACAAGACATAATTTCAAAGTAACAGCTTAACTTTTCATAACGTAAAAGTTAAGTTGTAACTTTTTAATTTGTATCATGATTTTTTATTACAAGCATCTCTCCACGAGATGGGGGATTATGTCAAGGCAGGCAACGGCGTGAGTGAAATTTTTGATATCGCAAGCGTCTATAGACTATGGTGGCCGCTTGCCACCAGGAGGGCCATATGCTTATTTGCCACTCTTTTATAATTTAAATAAAAACTTAAACAAGTTTAGATAATACATTCGCCGAGTATTCTCACTACAAAATTAAACACATTCGCAAATGCAAGAGCAATTATTCTAATAAGCGTCAACAACTAATTAATCTTTAATTTTCTGCTATGTAAAGTCTTACCCCGGAACTCCAAGCGCGCGTACTTCTCATTCTTGCATTTCAGCACCTTGAAACGGTTGAGTTTCACGACTAGCGACATTTTTGGTTTTTAATGAGATCGCGTACTAAGCCGAATAGCGGCCCGAAGGCCCTAAAATTTTCGTTTTCTAAGTCCTTACAACTTTGCGCAAGTTTTCGGGATTAAAAGGTTTTTAGGCGCCATACGGCGGCATCGTACTTGTTGAAGTTTTTCCGCTGCTGCGGCGGGCGTAAGTCGCTAGAGCGGGTGTACTCGAATCGCGCTCTGTTCGGAATGACGATGGGCGGGAGGCTCCGAAGCACCCCGCGCCTCGCCGGGCTGTGAGCTCTCGCGACTGCGTAATTACAACCCCTGAATTTCAGTTTCACAGGCTTGTGTCTTAATAGCACCTGTATTCAACCTATATAATTTGGAAACATTTTCAAGCGGACCTCCTTTAATTAATGAATTATAATACACCTTTTAAAATTATTGAAAATTTTAAATATATAGGTTTTTTCAAGGATTTAACTGCTTAAAAAATAATTTCAAAAAAGAAAGCGTCACAACAAGCAACTGGAGGAACAAGGAACTCCAACTCACCGTATATTCGTTATCTAAACACTACTCATTGTATTACTACCATTCATAAAATGTTCCACCTTCTAGATTTGCAGATTCTGTACCGTTACAGAAATATGAACCTTCAGGGGCAGTTTATTTAGTTCATTATATTAGGAGAGGAAATAATAATATTTTATTTACTAGCTGGCTGTGTATAGGGACAGAATTTTTCGCCCTTATCCATAGAGGAGCGAAATTCATTGAAACTCTACCTGGCTACCATTTGCCATAGAGGAATCTGTGATAATATAAAATAATTAAACATAAAAAGGTACGTAATAAGTAGTAATTATATACTTTCACTCCAAATTACAAGTGTTCCCTCGAAACAATAAGTGTACGAAGTGTTCGCGAACATCATAGCAGAAAAATGGATGGGATAAAAACAATAATAGATCTGTTTTACAGGGCTTTCCAATCGTCTAATCCTATTAAATTAAGTGCTCGGCTAAGCGAAAGATGAAGCAAACGACACAGAATGCCTTTAACGGCAGCAGCAATAAAATTATTGAAACCTGCGCCCATCCCAGATTCACTTGAAAGTATTTAAGAGACACAAAACTTTGAGTAAGAAGAGTGTTTGTCACTCCGTGTTGAAGAGTGATTTATTTTTCATTCAAGTGCGAGTCGAACCTTACGCGATGTAATGTTTCGTAGTTGCCCATAAATTTCCAATGGTATTTGTTTATTTTTACTACGCCAAATACCTTTCATACGTTTTGTTTGACATAAATTTAAGTACTTAATATTATTTTCATTTCACATATTGCATAATTAACTAAAACTAAATGAAATTAAGAATGTATTTTCCACATTATATAATTTCTTGTTATATTACACACCACACGCCTTAGATTAAAACAGAAAGGGTAGATACGGCACTAGCCTCACAAAAGTGATCCGCATGAATTGTGGTCCACGACCCTAATCGCTTTAGTCACAACTTGACATGCAAACGACGTACATGTGAACGCTAAAAAGAAATATTGCTAATATTTTGTGTTTATATGATAAAACAATGCCTAAGTGTGTTTTTAAAAAGTGCTCAAATTGCTCAAGAACTAAAAAAAAACCCATGGCATCACTTTTCATTCTTAAGTACTATAAATATATTTTTTCATAAAAATTGCTGTTTGTTTTGAATCTTACTAGGTAGTGACGTCGAGTACTGGTCGCGTGATTGGTCGGTAGTGCAGTGAGGCGGATCTCGCCGTCTCGTTCACGCTGCCGTTGAAACTTAACGTGCTGTTTCGTTCGGGTCGGTAATGCAGTGACGCGGATCTCGCCGTCCCCCTAGCGCACGCGGGACTTAAACCACGTACCCACCTCAGATAAATTTCCGGATATTGAAAATTCAAAAAGAGACAACCCTGATTGAAATATTTAATTGAACACAACTTCTAAACTTCACGCAATTTTGACGTGATTTTTTTGTAATAGGTAGATATAGGCCCTTCATGTTCATTTGGATAACATTTCCAAATACGGTGGACAATCTGAAAAAAATAAAATAAAAACGAAAAACTTAATATTAACAATTTCTCCTCTTCTAATGCAGCTACAAGGTCGTTAATAGCTCTTAAAGATAAAGCTTGTAAAGTGCTTTCTTTCACATATAACATATATTTAAAATATACCTAGGTAACACTGAAAATGTTTAGAAAATGAAAAACGGCTTAATGTAAAAAGTTGCCAATACTTTTATTGATTTTCGAAGTAATCTCCGTTCCTCTCTACATATCGTCGCATTCGATGGAACCACTGAGAAAAGTAGTGGGCCCATTCTTCCTTAGGGGTCTGTTTTATGGCATTTTGTTACGCTTTCTTTACTTCTTGGGAATAAATGAAAGTGGCAGGGCGCCAGGTCAGGACTGTATGGCGGATGACTCATTATCTCGACACCTGCCATAGTCAAATATTCAACAGGCCGTTTTGCGGAGTGGGCTGAAGCATTATCGTCGTGAAGGAGGATCCTGCTTCGAGGGCGCTGCTGTCGACATTTTTCCTAGACAACAAGCAAACAGCGATTGACATACCAGTCTGCAGTAACTGTTCTTCCATCTTCTAGCACAACTGTCGCGAAATGACTTTTCCGACCATAGAATGAGACAATCATCTTTTTCCTTGACTTCTTCCTTTCCTTATCTTAGTTGGCCCCCACGACACCCAAGGAAAAGGAAGGAAACACCCACTGAGCTGATTGTCTTTTGGTTTCAGGTTCGTAGCATTATATCCAGCTTTCATCACCTGTGACGATGTCAAATACAGCATTTCAGTCACCGCCGTTGAACTTATCTAAGATTTGGCGACACCAGTCCATGCGAAGGTGTTTCTGGTCGTCGGTTAAGTATGGGGAATCCATATCTGGTACAAAGCTTCCTGACGCCTAAATGTTCGTGTAATATTTTTTTAACTTAACTCATACCAATGCCTAGGCTTGCCCGTATCTGCTGATAGGTCAATCTCTTATCTTCCTCTATCATGCGTCGCACAGCACTGATGTTATCTTCGGTAGTCGCTGTTAAAGGACGTCCCTCACGCGGATCATCATTGAGATTGCTACGTCTACGCTTAAACTCGTTAAACCAATTGTAAATAGTGGCACGAGATGGGGCTTCATTAAGAAATGCTAATCGCAGCCAATCATTGCCTTGTTGTTGAATAAGCCCACAACGAGTCATAATAAATCATAGACCGAAAATTTTCTCGCGCTAGTTTCATTTTCACGTGTAACAAGAGTTTTAGATTTGCCGCCAATTCACAAAAACAAATGACAAATGAATGCAATATACTACATTAGGTTACTTCTAAAATTGAAATTCAAAAAAGGTATCCATAGCAATGTTTCTAACTTGCCAGTTCGGCAGCCGGAAAAGGAATAGATATTCAAACCTTTTTTTTTTCGAAACTAAGCGTTTTTGTCACTCTGGAGTGTTACTGTAGCGTTTTAAATTATTCTAATTTCAGGATTTTTTAATTAAAAAGCAGACATCGGAAAAAATGGGTTTCATAATACACTGTGCGCTGGGCAGATGGTTTTAAAATAATGAAAAGTGAGTAGCGAAATTAAATATAAAAAAATATAACGGAGAAAATGTGACGATACAATAATTAAAATTAAGGTATATCTGCGCCTGGGCTGGGCCGCTCGTCCCGCTCCAAAGTGTTTTAAGAATCTCGATTTTGTGACATGCCCTTTTTATCCCAAATTTCTATAGATTAAGCTATTATAAGCACTGAAAAAATACTGGAAAATTAATACGATACGTAATTTTCGAGAAAAAAAAATTCAAAGTTAACCCTTTTTTCGATCCGGAATTTTCAAAAAAACAATGTTACTCTTCTATTCAACATGTTTTTTTGTTTTGATTAAATGTATGTTATGTGGCTTTGTACAATAGATTTTTCCACAAAATTTGAGCCTTCTAAAGCAAATCGTATAAATGATATGTTTTATTTTTCAAGTTTTCATTTATATTTTTTTTCTTTAGTATAACGGCGTATTCGTATGAATTTTAGTCTCTAAAATATCGAGCTTTGTTGTCCTTATTATACAGTATTTTTTTTGCAACCGAATATCGCGTTATGTAGAAGTTATGAGCTAAAAACTTTTTTTTCAGGGTTGACAAAAATTTTATTCCTGCCATTTAATTATGAAATTGAAATATAAATATCTCATAAATAAATATTTACAATGAATCATTTATTCCTGTATTTATAACGAAAGAATCGACGTTAATCAGTATTCCTTTACTGCGTCACTTGGATCGGTGTCAAGTTTTAATTGAACCACCAATTGGGAGAAGGGAACAAATCTGGGATTTATTTCCTTCTTCCAACTAACTCACCTTCTTCCATAGTATGAAAGTTTATAATTGTCTGATAAATATTCAAATAGAAATAAGTGTTAATAGTACATTTCTGTTGATATATGCGTATGCGTGCTTGTAGGTGTCAAAAGTAAAATAACACACTCATAAGATTTTTGCTCACCCTTACTGCAATGGGTCGTTTCGAAAAGATATATCAATACTTTCCTGTGCGTGGTATTCGTATTTACAGTGTAATAGAATTTTCGGGACAGCAAAAAGGCTCATTAGGAGAAAAGATCTAATTAACGTTTTCATAGTATAATAATCTTTTATCAGCAGCAAATACTAGAGAATTTTTCGTCAAACCCCTTACGTCAGAAGATAAGTACTTGATTTTAAGCAGATATGCCAAAGATTGTTCAAAAAAACTTGCAAGTTATTAGACAAGAAAAGTATATTCGAGATCTCACAATAAAGAAGCTTTGAGTACAGTAGCTGTACTGTAGAACATACTTGGTGCCCCTGATGACTTAAGCTTTTCAAGTCATAAGGGGCACCTAGTATTATGAGCTTATAGATGGCTTAATGAAAACCATTTTTTTGCTCAGAAAGTCTCTGGTAGCCAAAAAATATCAGTGGCAAAAG